GGCAGGAATCCAGCAGGCCGACAAAAATAAGTCCATGAAGAAGCTCTCACGAGCGTTGGACGAGCTGAAAAACAAAAAACTTCGGAAAAAATTCATGAGGCTACCAAATTCACATTCTTTCAGACTGTGATGACTTTAAGAGGCACTACCAGCTGTATAGAATAGATGAACTGCAGTGGCAAAGTTTTTGAAGACAAGGACTCTCATGGGACGACCCTCTCAGCAACGACAACCTGCCAGAATTTTTCACACTAGTTTGTGAGATCAAGCAGCTTCAAGCAGTGATCAATCCTTGCCAATATTTTATTCATAAGTAATCAAAATTTTCTCTGCATGTTTTCTGCGGTGTTTCCTATTTCGCTCCTGCTTCCGTCTCAATTTTCGTTAAGAAAGACGAAATCGCAAGCCGAAGAATATATATCACGGGCCCATGGAAAAGCTGGATTTGCACCGTTAAAGCAGCATACCATAACCAAACTGGAGTTACAAGCTGCCTTGATAGGAGCCAGACGTGTTGGAGAAATATTAGACCTCTCCTTAGCTTCGCATAGGAAACACTGCCCAGGAAACCTTAACACTGCAGACGACTGAGCGTGAGGAATTCCCTTTGCCGAATTCACACCAAACTGCTGTTGGTTTCATGGACCAGACTTCCTTTTAGCATCAGCCAGCAATGATCCGCGCCACTTCAGATTTCACAGCCCAAAACTGCATATCTGAGTTCAATTTTTCTCTCTTTTCGACGGATAACACAGACGAGCGTTCTCACAGATAGTCTTTCATCGCTCACTCAAACTTTGTTGGTTCCACAAATTTCTCGAAATGGACCCTACTGCTTCGAGCAACTGTTTTTGTATTCAGAGCATTAGAAAGACTCAAATTAAAGGTTAGACATTAATCTTTAATTTTACAAAACACCATCGGATACAACTTTTTTATTTTCTCCCATGTCTGGTCGATTGAGATCACGAGGATCTTACGCAAAAGACAATGTTAGTTTGCCGCATTCGACCAACCCAACCAGCAGCATTCTGCCAACGCAGACAGACCATAACCACATCTTGACGTCAGTCGAAATCACCAACGCCGAATTGTTTCTTCCGAAGCAATCGCAGCTAGATACTTTCACCACAAAATACGCCGCTCTAAAACGTGGTCAATCAGTATTACCCAGCAGCCGCATTAGACCCTTCTCCCTGTACATCGACGATAAAGGACTTCTTCGAGCTCAGGTACGCTTACAAAAAACTAGACTTGAATTTTAGCTTGAAATATTAATCTTTAATTTTACAAAACACCATCGGATACAACTTTTTTATTTTCTCCCATGTCTGGTCGATTGAGATCACGAGGATCTTACGCAAAAGACAATGTTAGTTTGCCGCATTCGACCAACCCAACCAGCAGCATTCTGCCAACGCAGACAGACCATAACCACATCTTGACGTCAGTCGAAATCACCAACGCCGAATTGTTTCTTCCGAAGCAATCGCAGCTAGATACTTTCACCACAAAATGCGCCGCTCTAAAACGTGGTCAATCAGTATTACCCAGCAGCCGCATTAGACCCTTCTCCCTGTACATCGACGATAAAGGACTTCTTCGAGCTCAGGTACGCTTACAAAAAACTAGACTTGAATTTTAGCTTGAAATACCCTATCATTCTCGACGGCAAACACCCCACTATTATGCTAATGATTGAACATACTCATGTCACAAACCAGCAGTCTCCACCCAAACCCACCAGGAACACTCTACATGCCGAGTCCTGGATTCTACACGGCCGAGCACAGATTCCGAAAGTCTGCAACAGTTGGTACGCATGCCCCCGCCAATGAGCTTATGGTGTCAAGCCTGAAATTGCAGCTCTACCATGCACCCGCTTTCCCTCTGAGAAACTCGTCCCCTTTCAAAATACCGGACTGGAAGTTTTTGGACCTTTCGAATCTCAGACAGCCAATGCTTACAACAAAAGTTATGGACTCATTTTGACCTGCCTAACTACACGTACCGTGCACCTCGAAATGTGTCATGACCTCTCTGCGGATGCCATCCTCAGTGCACTTCGGCGCTTCTTTGCTAGACGAGGAACCCTTTCTACACTTTGTTCCAATAACGGGACAAACTTTACAGCAGCCGAAAAAAAACTCTTCGAAACCACCGACTCTACAGTTGTTCATGATTTTTTTTGGAATTCTCAAATTCTTTGGAGCTTCAACCCAGAACATGCGCCTAATTTGAGAGGCATATGGGAACGCCTCATTCGAAGCCTGAAAAACGCAATTTATGCTATCATTGGTAGCAAGCAAGACTCTGACTGACGACACTTTCAACACAGTACTATGCGAGGTCAAACAGTTCATGAACGTCAGACCGATCACCACAGTTTCTTCATCTCCAAACGATTTTGAGGCCTTCAGCCCAAATTTTTTCCTTCTAGGACAATCAAGGCCACCATCGACTATCACGAAACGATGGAAGTTCGCCCAGCAGCTCTCGAATCACATATGAAAACGCCTTCTTCAAGAATTCGTGCCAACGCTTCTTCCTCGCCAGAAATGGAATTCTGAAACCATAACGATAGCCAACGGACAGCCAGTATGGATACTAGAAGAATTTCTTGTTTGCCCAATTTTTTTTCACCCAACAGCGCCGGATCTTTGTAACCGACTTGGCTAGCACTCCGCGACTACAACCGTGTAGAAGATTATGGATTTTATCAAATCAAAGAAACCAGAAAAGATTATCGACACTTCGACCGACCCTTTATCCATCAGCCCAAATTGAACGCATCTCGAAAGAAAAAATGGGAACCACTCTCTACTACTCTCAGCAGTTACTCTCTTGTGAGATATACGATCCGACCCACAGATCACTCTCTGATATTCACCTCTGCAACGACGATTTGGAACCAACCTGCATCAAACTTTGCCAGGAGAGCATCACTCAAATAGTGACAAATTTGGCACAGATCTTATCATCGACAACACTACTCAGCCACCAACAATTTTTCCAACTACGACCAATGAAACACTCTAATTGAGTCGACCCCTCTACTATCGACAAAACAACCTGCAAAGACGACAACAGTATACAACAAAACTCGACTATTCCACAAGGACAGCGAATCTTCCACCGCGACAGGAGCCACCGTAGCTCTACGACCAACCAAGACAATTGTCTCCATTAAGAATCGACACTTTGACAATAGCAGCAGCAGCCACCTTAGCAACGACCAAGACAACGACCCACAACACGAATCGACTCATCAACGACGACATCAGCCACCTCAGCTCTGCTAGGAATTTAGGACTAGGTTTGGGAATCTCCACCTAAGCCCGCCCCAAATTTTCATTTTAAATTTACGATTACAAAATGAGACCGGCTGTTAGCCCAATTTGAGCAGTTCTACAAATCAACTAGTTTACTGTGACTCTCGATGCCCGATATTTCAGGCAGGACATGCAATGACTTTGCTCATTGCATGAAAACAACAATTTGAAGACAACTGAAGTCAAGTTACTGTAAAGGGACAAAAAGACTTATAGAAAGAAAAAAACTGAAACTCTATTATAGAAACGCAACAAAACAAAAAAAATTGATGTTTGAAATATCACTGTAATCCACACTTTTTAGTTTACAGTTCTCTTTCGAAGTAGTTGGTGGGGATAACCAAGAATGGTGATGATAACTTCTCTGAATTGATTTTGAGCAAAAACAAAGTGTTGGAAAAACAACATAATGTGCCAACAAAAGTTAAAAGCAATACGCAGAGCATCGCAAGAAAAGGTCTAAGAAAAATGTCATAAATCCGCTTGAAAAAATAAAAGTGTTCCGCAAAAAACCTTAAAGACCTGAAAAGGTAGTCGCAACACTCAGGACTTTGTCCTGATACAAGCAGTCTTGATTAAATTTAGATTTCATTGTTTCTGAAGTAGACCTGAGACACAAATGTATTCATTGTATTCTAGATATTTCATAACCAATTGAATCATTTCAAATTTCTTTTAAAAAATTTCGATATTTTGCTTTTGCTTCTTAATTTAACTTAAACTTACTTTTTAGAGAATTAGATGGTTTGTGATTAGTCGGTCAGGTTTCACAAGTGCGAGGACTAATTTGAGAGTTTCAACTAATTTTTGCAAAATAGTTTTTGCGAACAACGAAAGTAAATAACTAAATTGGATTCAAGTGTGTTTTGTTTTCCAAACCAAAAACATAGTCAACAGACAGCTGGAAAAGAGTGAATAAACTCAATGAAACAAAAAATAATTCTGACTTTTTTTTGAAAAATTTTCAACTTTTGAAATTTCAAAGTAGAAAAGTATAAGGCCTTAAAGCTCTTTAATTTTCTTAAACATTCATGATTGACTTTTTTTGAGAAAGAGTTAACCCAATTTGAGAACAATGGATCAGTAGGTAAATTCTTTATTCCTCTGATAAATCTAAAAATAAAATGCACTTTTGAAACAAGAAACCGATCACGTTTTGATGACCACGTTCATGACTCTTAATCAAGTACCATAAATAAAATGACGGAAGGGTTTTTATTTCTGGTTAAAGTTTAAGAAAAAAACTAATTGAGAAAAAGTTTCCCCTCACCTTCATAAAAAAATCGAAAAGATTCAGCATTTATTTTGCTCAGCAAACAATTTTCTCTTACTTTATCAATGCGCTCAACTCATCTGCTCTGTTCTTTTTTATTTTGAATATCTAAAAAGCACAAAAAGTGGGACAGTACAGAAAAGTCGAAAAAAAGGTGCCAACAATTAATTTGAATACTGTTTTTTTTTCTGGTCCCAAATCACTGCACAAGTAAATTAATTCATATAGCGGGAAGTTGAAAAGCCAAAAATGACCATTTTAATTGATGGCAATTTCAGTTTTGGCACTGTTGTACTTCGGCATTTTAGAACGCCCCACAAAAATTCGAGGAAAAACAAATATTTGATACCACTGATAATTGATTAATCTGTTATTCAACATAAATAATTAGCCGTTTAAAGTTTGGCAAGCTTCTTTTTTTTAGCCACATCTACTTTTGCTGGCCCTGAGTTTTCAATGATCGTTGCCTCGTCTGAGCTTAATTCAGACGAATCCTCTTCGCTCTGAAAGTCGGAAGAAGTACACGAACTGTCTTCAATTTTACTGTCGTGTTCGGAGTTTTTCGTATTTAGTTTGCTAGTACTATCTTGCACTGCTGACTTCGGAGTTTGATCGGAAATCATAGTTTTTGTGGCCAACTGAATTTCTTCAACTGAATGCTGCGACTTGTAGTTTCTTACTGAGAAACTCTGCAGTGGGGGGTTCAGACTTTGATCGTTGGCTGAGCTTTCCGGCGCTGATGCGCATTGTGCTGATGACTCCGGTTTGATATTCGATTTTTCACCTTCAGGTGCACTCGAAACTTCTCTTAATGAAGGGTTACCAATCGCGTACGTGTCCTTTCTTGTGTTATCTGAAGGGTAAAGACTACTTTTCTCAGGAGATGTTTCAAATCGACTACTACCTTGTTGAAATATTTGTTCCGAACTTACTTCGCCAAGTTCAATGTTATTATCTGTGTCGATATTGTGGTTTGCAAAGCCTAGAAAGGCTTCGTCTTCTTTTTCAGTTGTTAGCTGTTTCAATGCAGCTTGCGTGAGTATTTGTATTTCTCGTTTTCGCCTCTCGCGGTTTCGTCGAATTTGTTCTTTTCGGGCATTTTTGATTTCGCTTAGAGCGGCGGATGAGCTGTGTGGGTGTTTCGGGTGACTTCCAGGTCTGTGTGGCGTTTCCTTGAGTAGCACGTTGTACATATCTCCATTTGGACTCCGATTCACATCCTGAAAAAATCCAAATCGGTCATGAAATCCGTCTGCAATTGGGAGTTGCTTGTAGGTTTGCCATGAGACCACCGACTGAGTTCGGGGAGGGGGCGGATACCCCTATCAAAATATTGAGTTTATTTCTAACCAAAAACCCTTAGGTTCCATTTTGCGACATGTGTTTTCGGCTGACAATTCCTAAATTTGTTCAAAGGTCTATATGCACTGATTTAAAGGGGAAAATCGTGACACTGTAAACGCAATTTTTTGGTCAAAACTTTCTTCAGAACGCCTGAAAATTAAAAAAAAAACTTTTTATTAAGTTCAAGGAATATTTTTTGAAGTTATTTTTGAGTTAGAATAATTTTAGAGTTTTTGGATTAATTTAGTATCTATAGGTCTAAAGACCCATTTCAACGAGGATAAAAAATTTTTAGACGAGGTTCCAGGTCTGAGCAAAAAGCGAAAATTAAATAATCACTGAATCTCTTTATTAACTTCACCCACCCCCTCTCTTTTTTTAATAATTATCCAATTCTTCAATTACAACAGCCACAATAAACATGAAAACTGGTCCTAGTGTAACGAGCTGCCCACTCCATTGCAAAGGGCGGGGGGGGGCAATTTTGAGGAGATGCTTAACTCGCAGCTGGCGTCCTCAGAGGAGAAGGTACTTCTGTCGGCTGGTGGGAAATGTGAGAACGTAGAGGAGTGTTTGATCTGCTGCTGTTGCGCATGATGGTGGCGGTGGTGATGATGATTGTGGTGATATCTTCTCCTGCCTGAGGATCCCCCACTGGTCTTTTGTAGTTCAGTCTTCTGTTTCATAAGAGCACTTTGTAGCTCCGCATTAGTCATGCTCAGTCTGCCAATAGAATATTTGTGAGAAATTATGCATTAGCTAGTGTAATTGCGTGTGTACTAAAATAAATTATCAGAATCAAATTGAGGAGTCTAACACCAGGGGTTGATATGGAATTTTAACAAGTATGCCATTAACGTGCCAGTTTTAAAATTCCAATCTGACCCGAGTTATATAGGGTAATTTATCCAAAACTTGTTACCATAAGCTGACAAATTGTGGGAAATCTTTGGTTATTACTATTTAGAGATATGAAATTTCTGATTATAAGGCTAACAAACTATAAGCAAACAATAATATAACATCTGTTGTAATATTTCACCTGTCGTTGTTCAAGTCGGAACACGAGGAGCTGCTCGGAGTGTCAGACTCTAGCATACTGTAGCTGGCCGAGTAGCACTTCTGCTTGTTCACTTCCCGCTCACGTTTCTGTTGTTCACGCAATTGCAGAAGCTCGTTTTCCTGAAACAAAACTCAGATAACCCCCTCTTTGTACGTTGATTGTAAAAGGTTAAAAAAGTTTTCGTTCATTGACTATGCCAAAAGACGCTTTTAAAATTAAAACTCAAATGTGGGGGCGGAGGATTGAAAACAAGACAAAGTTTAGATAAGAGTAAATTTATGCGCAAAGGAAATTTACTTAAGTACATACACAAGCAACCAACTCGTGACAACTGAAGGCAATTGAAAAAAATATATATTCGGAAAACTTGAAAACTAGAAAATGTTGATGTTCATCTTTTGAGGCAGGTAATTACTACATAGATTTTTTCTCTCGAACAGGTCCCAAACTGCTGCGGACAGGTCCCAAGTATCATATGTGAATCTGACCTTGATTGATGTTTCGATTTTGTCTATGATGGAGTCGATGTTGACCAGAATGTGTTCCAGTCTGGAAGCTGTGCCCCCAACCCCTCCCCCCTCGCAGAAATAGTCCAGCACCTCCCTCTCTCTCATCCGCAACTCCTCTATCTCCCCGAGCCACATATCACAAGTGCGCTTCATTTCCTAAAAAAAGGGTTAGGGTTGTCCCGAATGAGCCTCTGCTGATGTTAGCACCATTAGCGCCCAAATCAAAAACCATGGTTGGACTATCAAAACTAAAGTTACAGGAACAACTCGGAACAAATGACAGCTTATGCCAAACAATGGCAGCCGGTTGGTGTGCGGGTAGCCCAAAATTTTATGACCCCAGTAGTCAGTGCGCAAAACACATTATCACATCAAACAAATAACCTCATTCGCCAGCTAAAAATGGCCGAATTACGAAAAAAAGTAGTGTTCTAGGCAAGGGCATTGATTAATTTGCTGATAAATTATAAAATAATTGTCGAAACTTTATATCTTGACCATCGAAAGTTGTCTGGAGAAAAAATCATGGCTGCCAAAAACTCTTTTTATGCCAAATTTCGGAACATTTAATTTGATTGTCTTCGAATTTAGAACTTCCAATTTTCGATTAAATAAAATACAACATGTTTCTCACCAGGAGAAAAGAAAGGAAAAATGAAAATCATAAAAAAAAACCATGTTTTCAGTTACATATTCATGCATGATTTTTGACTTTCTAGCATTATGATGTCTGCGGAATATTTATGAAATATAATTGTGCAAAGTTCTCAGCCAAGCGTTTACAAGAGTTAAAATAGCTGCAAACAGTTTTCTGCAGAAAAAAATCTGTTTTTATGGATTTTTTGGCCTAGAAAAAATCGATTATATTGTCAAAATAATCGATTTGAACGGATTTTTAAATATGGTAAATAATCGATTATAATCCCCTAAAAATCCATTTTCATGGTTGGATGGTTCATGAAAATCGATTATAGTTTTTTGCCATTACATAATCCATTATAATCGATTATTTCCCATGAAACTAGAGTAAATTGTGTAAAGTATTCAATAATAACCCCAATCATGATCCATAAGATGATCAAATATTTTTACCCTGATAAGTTCAACTGATCAGACCATTACTTAAACCGACTGGAACTAATTTAATCTCAGCTTAGCCTCGTGTTCACCAGCTTTTCCCTAGTAGGACAGGTTTAATTTTACACAAAATGGTTACAAATTCCTATCTGGCCAAAAACAGATAGCGTGATAAAAAACACCAGAGCGTGAGATGGTGAACGTTTTATCAAAAACAACTTCTCTATGGAGTTTTAATGGGGCATTCTAAATTAAAGTCATAAGAGATAAAAAGTCATAAAATATTAAAGTAATTTTTATTCTTGCGAGTGGTTTTACAAATGACAGCTTAAACTTTAAAAATTTGATATGAAGGTGTCCATTTCTAGAAATGTCAATTAAAAAATCACTTTTTCTGTTCAGATACCTTTTTGTCTGAATTAATACCAATGGACAATTTTTTTTTCATACCTGTAAACTGGCACTGAACTGTTCCTTCACAAATGAAGTGGACATTGATATCCTGTCCAGCACAGAGATTGTCTTCTCTGAAATACTAGCCACCTCTTCCGATATGTTTTCCAGACTCTCTCTAGAACAAAAGCAAAGCCAAGTCGGTCGGTCAGCTCGGCAATGGAATGAATTTTTAATCGTAATTATTAACGAGTGCTGACATAAAATTGCACTCATCGAAAGACAGAACATCAATCAATTTGCCTCTAAGAAGCAAAATGATTAAGGAACGTGGATCTACTTAACAATCCCCCCCCCCTCCCCCCCCCCCCCTGTTGTATCTACTAAAAAATCTCCACCCCTGTAAATAAAAACAGTAAGTTCGCACTAAAGCGTTGTATGTAAATTCAAATTGTGATTGGTGGATTGTGATTGGTCGAAAATCAGCTACAAGTAATCTAGTAAACAATCTCCCCCTTTCTTGAAAAGGGGGGATTGTTAAGTAGATCCATGAACGTTTCCCAATTTGTAGGAGTTACTTTTGCGTCAAGTGGCGTCAAGAGTTTCAATTCGACAATAATTGAATTAAAACTGAATCATTTTTTGTTCCAGATATGAGAAGCCCAGAACAGGTTTTGATTCTACCCCAAAAATGTTTGTTTAAACCTAATTGCATGCATGTTTCAAGTCTTTTATAAGTTAGAACCTTTCTTAAACTCTTTAAATAACACCCACCACATAAAAGATACTGATCTGGGTTTCAATTTTTTAAGATAATTTTTTCAACGGTATCCCCCTCCCCTCGAATAAAACTGTCCCTCTTTTCACCGGTGGTAATTTTTCGTTTTTCGAACTCAGCATCAGCTTAGCTCATTGATCCAAATAAGGCGCTTCTTCATGTAAAGTTTCGCAATTTCTTAACGATATTGCATGTGGAGGGAATATATAAAAATTAATTTACAGAGATCAAAGGTCGGTCAACGATTTATGTCTTGAACCTGATACGAGCTATCTTGTTCTTCTGGGGGGCTATTCTCATGCGCGAAGGACCGAATGGGCAAAAAATTTTGTAGGCCAAGGACCGAAGACAAAATTAGCCGAAAGTCAATTTTTAAAAAGAAGCAATTGCCATTCAATTGAAATGAATTAAATGAAGCAATGTTTTACTTTTTTCATTACGAAACCCTTGAAATATAAAGTTTGTCCCAATTTTGCGGCGGTCACTGACAATTTGAAAATTTTGCATAGTTCTGCTGTTTTTATATTCGGGCAATATCAATACTCCAGTCCATGGAAATGTTTACTTTCTTTGCAAATTTTAGATAACTTAAATCTGATTGGCTGATTTTTATTTTCGCGCATTCGGTCCTTCGCGTATGAGGGATTCCACCGTTCTTCTGTACAATAGAGTTATGATTTTCAATTCAATGCATCCAAATATTGATTTCAGTTATCCAGATCAATTATTTTTTTTACTTGCAGCTGATAGAAATCGAAATCGGACCATAAAAAAGCATACAGATGAAACACATCGAGTAATCAAAATCATGAAGTTTTCAAAGCGTTATTCGACAGCGCTTATTTTGGCCAACATGATTTAGATTGAAATACAGCAAAACAAAATCAAATAAAGTCAAATTTTGCGTGAGAAACTCTGAAAAAAAAAACAAATTCAAACAAAAAGTCAAATTAACTAATATTTCAATGATTTCAATTCAGAAGAAGAGCTTTTTTCAACTTTTACCCCCAAATTTATTTTTTTCATTTGTCTTATGTGTTATCATGGATACATGCTTGATTTTACGATGTAAAGTATGAAGAACAAATGTGTTCACAAAAGTTACGTTGTTCACCTAGCAAAATTTCATTACATTATGACAACGTAGAGTGAGTTTTTTAAATATTAAAATTCAAATGTGGAGGAAAGTGGACTACAGCCAGAAGAAGAACATGAAAATCGAAAAACATAGTCAAGAGACAGTTGGAACAGAGACAATAAAGGCAAGCAAATGGAAAAAAAATACTGACTTTTTTTTTTACAAAATCTCAGTATTCGAGTTTCCAAGAAAAATTTATAGCTGAATGAATTCCCCGAACAGTTTATGATAGACACTTTTTTGACAATTTCAATCCAGATTGAGAAGACTAGATAATCAGGTAAAGATTTGATTCGCCATTTTTGAAACAAGAAGTCGATCACGCTTTTTGTGATTTTCACACTTTTGCTGTTCGATAGTAGATTTTGGCTTTTTTCTAAATGAAAACGCAATCACGTAAATTTGAGTGTGAACAAGTTTTAAGACTTTTCCTGATTTTTTTAAAAAATCATCACCCACACAAGAGACCACAGAAATACTCAAAATCAGGCTTGGGTTTTTTATATTGTAAATAGGCCACAGTATGACCCCTTAGGTCTGAGCACCGTTTGATGTGTGTATGACTATCACTATTTTTCGCGGAATCTGCAAACAAATACTTCTAACAAATTTTAATGGCACATTTAGTGTGTCGCAGAACTCCCAACGAGCCAAAACATCACATAATTGAGCGGAAAAAAATTAGAAAAAAAAAGAGTCAAAACTTTGTTTTAGCAATTTGCCTCTTGAGTCCACCATTGCAGTGTATCAGAGAAGATCAAAGAAGACTTCTTGCGGATTCAGCGTCAAAATATTTTCACTCTGCCGTGATGTTTGCTTGTCAATCACAAAACAGTTTGGCATTATTAGCCAAGTGTTCTCTTTGACAAAAAACCATCATTATTGTAAGCCTGAGCTTGATTTCGTTCAAAAAAATGTTCTTGAGTTATTATATCCTGGCTTATCATACAATTCTATATCATACAAAAACGCTTATCATACAATTCCAAAGATTAAGAAAACTGTAAGAAAAAGCTGTATGAAAATTGATTAGCATTAAGCATGATAATCATTTTATTTTATACGTTGGAATAGTATGATTTACATTTTTCCATTCTATGGAATTTTATGCCAAGCAATTTTCCTGTATAAATTTTTTGTGTTTCGCTTTGAATTTGTGTTTGGCCCTAAAACATAAAAATAACTTTTTTCTTAAAGTAGGAAAATAACAGGCTAAACGGCATTAAAACCGCGTATTGGTATGTGCCAAGTCAGTTACACAACTGAATTTGACGCAAAATTAGAACAAAAATGCCATCTTTTGTATATGGCTACGATGTCTCTATTTCGACAAAATCAGATGTTAAAACCGAAGCCTGGTTGTAGGACCAATTTAGGGAAAACGTAATTATCTAAAATTGAAAAAAAACCATCTCTGCCTTCAAAGAGACTCTTCATTGTGACTCTTGATTATTTTCAATGTAAGAAGACTGTGCGTGGACTACGTTAATTATAAACAAAAAAGAAAACTGAGCATGCAAGAAAAGGTTTTTCGGATACATTTTTTGCTCATAAAACTGGTTTAGCAAGTAAAATGAGAACATGAAACTTTCTCAATTTTGTATTTTTTTATGGAAAAAAGGTTTATCAACAATTTCATGAATACTAGTAGTATGATAAACGTTTTTTGTTCACAAAAATTATGTTTTGGTAACCAAAGTGTTTTCCTTTAATAAAAACCCGATATAAGCCCAATTGAGCATACCTAAAAACTCTCCTAGAAGAATTCTGAAAAAAACCTAGTGGAAAAAATGCTTGTCATACATTTTGCATAAGTTTAAATAAGGTATAAATGAGAACTTTTTTTTTGTTGGGAGGTCAACCCGGGATGTCGAGGAGTGGCTAAAACATCCAAAATATTTCTGCAAAGTTTTTGGCTCCAGAAAACTACAAAGAAGATTTGTTAGTGAAGACAGCCGGCAGGTTCCAGTTTCCAGTCATTGCAAAGGATATAATCAAGGAACTAAATATCACAAAACCAAGGGCCATAAAAAGTAGAGGGCATAAAATTGCGATTAACACGAAATTTGAAATTGTAGTAAAGTTTTGTTTTTGCATGCAGCGGTTTTTATAGCCGCAGAAAATTGCAACAATTTTTCGTTCATTGGTTCGAATTCTTGGAACAATTTTGTCTGAGCGTAATTATTGACCAGTAAACAATCCATTATGTTGGCCCTTGCCAATGGAAAAACTGAAAAACAACCCGCATGCATAGTTAAAGTTTTGAAACAAAAGATTTTGATTCACAGCTAGGGTAAAGAAGAATACCTATAACATTACTGCCGTATTTTGCTTTTTTATCTTCACTTTTTTTAAGGAAAAAAAATGATATCCTACAATTTTTCTTTGAAAAAAGAAGTAAGAGTTGAGCAAAATTTTTTTGAATCCTACACCTACAAACTTGATTTGAAACATATTTTTTTGTAATTCATTGGCTTCAAAAATCATCAATCAATAACTGTTTAAAAAATTATTATTTTTTATAAAATTGGAATAGTTTTGCAAAAAAGGCGAGATTTCCTCCAAAAAGTTTTCATACACCAAAAGTTTCGTTACAAAGGATATCTCTTCTATAATCGCAACCTTGGTTTAAACTTAAGCGAGTCTTCTAATCTTCTAATAAGGTTTATTCAGAAGTGGAACTTCAAATCTTTTTATTTCCTGCATCCAAATTCAAGCGTCAATAATTGATTACTTTTTTGGTTTTTAGTACCAGTCTCACTAAAAATGAGAAAAATCTATAATAGTCAATAAAATTTTTTTATAATCTGTCTCTTTGGAAACAAATATAATCAATTATAAAACACGTTTTCACACTTTTTGATACTGGCAGCTTTGAAAATTTTGACCAAAAACTCTACCCCTTAACCCTCCTCTCCACTCGCAGACAAAAATGCACATAGTAATTGAAACTCCTTCTTTTAGAACTGAAAAAAATCGGCTATAGAGCTCCAGAATTTGAGGATACTTAACCATTTTTAGATCATGATTTCGGACCAAATTAACAAACCCCAAGCCGTTTAGGGGAAGCATGCTAACTTGGTTCTGAAAACAAATTTTCAGCCCTCAAATTAGAGAATTTTACACGCAACACTTAGCAAATTTAATTTAAACTGAAAGCAAGGGCTTAGGATGCTAATTTGGTTTATTTGAGAGATGGGGTGCACGGGTTGACAAAAATTTCCTACCATTTCATAGAACAAAAAATAGTGCGAATATAGCAAATAATCGTTTTCCCATGCAATGAAACTTTTAAATTCGTATTTTTCCGTCAATCTCGAGTTACATAACACGTTTTTCACCATTCTTTTCATTACAAATATTTTACGATAAACATTTATCCATTCAATGAAAATGTATGACTAGCATTTTTTCCATCAAAATTTTTCTGGTTTTTGTTTTGTAAATTTGTGTTTTGTCCAAACACACTAAGTAAGGGTTTTATGGCAGTTATCGCGCAGATAAACTGCTTGTGGCTATTTTACCTTGTGAATAATTGATACGCTTTCACAGAGAATTATATTTAAAAAATGTAACTTTTTGAATATGGCTAGAAGCTTTCTCCTCGGAAAAATTCAGTGGTCTGCCTATAATTTAAGAGATATAGATATAGGTTTATTGTAGCATATAAAAACAGTAAGCACCAATTTTCATAATGCAAAAAATATTTACGTGAGTTTAACTCAGCCTGGACTACGTTATAGACAAATAATTGCAGGCAAAAAGTTTTCGGTAGATTTTTCATCTGAGCACAGAAGCGAGTTTGCAATCAAAAAGAACAAAAAAAAACGTTCATCTTTTTTTAAAAATATATATGGAAAAAATTGATATCCTACAGTTTTCATGAAAAATCATTGGAATAATTTGTTGCCAAAGTTGCTCTCATGTAAGAAAAACTGCCAAAATTTCTTATTATTTGAGTTTTGAACCATTTTAAGATAACTTTTATCAGGAAAAAATTCGATTGAAAAAATGCTTATCATGTAATTTTCTTCTATGATAATAGTTTGATAAGCATTTTTTAATAAACTGCTTATACGAAATTGTATGATAGGCATTTTTCTTGTATGGACGTCAACCCGATTGATGTTTCTTTGATCCATGTTTTCAAATCTCACATACCATGATTTTTCTGTTTCAATTACTGATAAAAATTTTCTCATTACCAGAAGTTTCTCCAGCGAAAACGAGACAACAGCTTTCAAATCAATTTAGACTTCTTTGCAATCACGGGAAACTGCAGCTACCTTAACTGGTACAAACCTGGCTGCTTTGAAGACCGAAGGCATGGTTGACCGCAAGTTGTTTATTTGACCATTACGCCTCAGGGCTTCCTGAAAGTAAACAAAGTCAGCCCCGTCTTAAACCGAACTCAATTTCCTGTGCAATGAAGAAAGCTTTTCTTCACGTTTTGGCGTTTCATCTGTCAAGATAACAAAATTGTTGGAGTATAAAAGCAGGGCTCAGAAATGAGGAAACAATGAATTATATAATAAATTGTCGCTTAACCCCTTCAGAAAAATCAGAAGAACTTGTTTGACCGGAAAATTATAAATTTTTGCAACCATTTTTTAGCTAATTTGAAAGACTATGATCGTAAAAACGGAGGTTTCTCAGGTGAAATTAGTACTAAATTAGACTATTTTGAAATCTGTTTTGTAAATAAGATTCTAGCCTCCGCCACAACATGTCTGAGTTTCCTGCTGTAGTGGTTTGTTTTGCTGTCCAGAACTTGTGTCAGACTTTCCAGTTTAACCCCAAGGGCGTTGCCAGCATACCCGCCCTGAAACCAATCACCCAGTTACTGATATACATGGGAGGGGATATTCACATTGTAGAACGCCTGAAATGCGTTAGTTTGTTAGTTTTATATTGATATTAGCTGATCAGAGATCAATAGCTAAAAAATATTTAAGTGTTTTGAACAATTCAAAGGAGTTTGATTGGCTGGATTTTATCAAATACAAAAAGAATTTGCTGTTGAAATATTTTAAGTTTTTTAGTTTTGTCATCTATGTAGTCAACTTGGTCGTTTCTGATCAAAAGAAAGATAAAATCGAGAAATAGAAATTGTTTTAAAATTCTGTCTCCAATTGATGTACTTGCTCTGGGGCGTTCAAGAGCGCCGGTGTAAAAGTAAGCCGAAAGAAACGAAGGTTTTAGAATGTCAAAAGTGAACCGTTCGTAATTTTATAAGATTTTTTTTCAGCTTCAAAATGAATTTACCTTTGACTTCGACCTAGTTTGTGAAAAAATTTGACCAAAGATTTTGTAGCGTGAAAGTGTTAATTGTTTCTTTGATATCATTACCAGCACTGACAAAAAAGGGATTAAGATCGATTTTAATCTGAAAAAAATATTTAGGTTTAATTCAGATTGTGTTTAGTATGAAAAAAGTACGAAAAGAAAATAGAAAAGGTTAAGATTGATTTGGATCAATGATTTAAATCGATTTTAAGTCGGCTTAAATCCATTTCTTTCAGTTTTTTGTTTTTAGGGGTAATAAAACGAATATAAATCGATTTGAATTGATTTTTTTCGGCGAACTTCATCAGTTTTGAGTTTGCGTTGCATTTATTCATTGCCCATCGTTTTTCGGCTTACTTCCATAGCGTCTGGTAGCATAATAAAAAGACTAAATAAATTTTAAATTTTCGAAAATATTTTATATTTTTCTTGCATAATTTTAATGATTTCGTTGCAATTATTTGAGCTGAAAACTTGATTTAACTTGACCCTTTTCTAGTTTTATTATTTAAAATTTTGACCATAATCTGATTTTTGTGGATTTTGTTTCTTGAATTCAAAAACTTTGAGCACATGTGTTGTTAATTAAAAAAACAATAATATATAATAAATTTAAAATTAGTTGTGATTTTGTGTGATTTCAAAAATTTAAAAAAAGAGCGCACCTGGTTGAGGAAGTTGCCAACGATGAGAATGACTGAGAGGAGGTCACACAGCGGCCTGTTGTCAATCACCTCTGAAATAAACCACAACATAAAACAATTAAGCGACCAACTTTATTTCACATTCTTTACAAAATTGTCTCATTCAACAATCGACTTCAAAAGTTTTTTCAAGCGTTTCTGCAGAATTCTGCTTCCAGAATTCTACTGAGCTTGGCTAAAATTCGAGCGTAATACGCTGAAATACCCAACGAAAAACTAGTGATGTCTATTCAAATAAACAATTCAAATACATTTAGTTTTCCTTTTTAAATGCAATTTAATTAAATGAGAAAGCTACGCAAAGAAAGAAAGTGTAAATAAAAACCATTTACCTTGCATAGACCTTGTTTCTGGATAATAAATATATTTCTTCGGTTATAAGCACTCATACTCTATTTTTTCTTCATTTTTAGTCAATGAAAAACAGATGGTGAAAAAATGGCTCAAGAAGTGGTCGCAACCCCCTCTCCCCTATTCAATTCTGGTTGCCAAGTTTTTAGAAAGTACTAGTTTTCGATATGGTACTATTTTTCAATATCTCTTTTTCGTTGACCAATTCGAAGGAATTATAGTATTTTAGGGCTGCTCAAAAATTGAAATTGCCACAAAAAATTTCAAAAAAATTAATTGAGGCCACCAAGCCACAAAAATATTGAAACTTTGAATTGCCAAAAACAAAATTTGTATTCAATTCAGAGACAATTCCAAAAAAATTAAACTTCAGTCAAAAATTCATCTATTTGGTTGTTCAAAAAAAAGCATTTTTTAGTTTAGATGGGCATCACTGCATAACGCAGAAGTGAAAATTTATTCAAATTTGAGAATGACTTTTTCTGAAATCCAATAACTGCTCTATTTGGACCACCTATTGCTTTTTAATTACAAAGTTTTGACTTAAGAAATGTTTTACGAAGCGACAATTCGTCGAAAACGAAAAATCATCCAAAACCAGCATTAAAAAAACTGAACACCTGCTTTTTTGTATAAGTAATGATGGAGTTATTAAGTGACCTTGGGAAGCCAGTTTGAGGGCATCGATTGCAGACTGGATAGTGGAACACTTCTCGTCATAGGACTCCTTGATCAGCATACTCTCCAGTCTCAGGTCATAGCTGAAGAAAGACACCAATTTGTTCCAAAAACTGTAAGACTCAAGTAAAAATATTCTTAAGAGAGGAGCGATGGTTAGGTGACTGAGCGTCCGGCTCTAAGTCGGACTGTTGGTGGCTCGATGATAATCATGCTCTGTGGTAGTTGCTTGAAAGTGAAGCATTATTACCCAGCCCAGACAGAATAACCAAAAACTACATGTAACCCCTTTTTCTAAGCAGGGAAACAAAAACAGTTCTCTGTAAAAAGCTGAACAGCTCCGTAAGGCGACAACTCGCAAGATAAGATAAGTCGCAATAAAAGACAACTCGCATTAAAAGACAACTCGCAATATACCCATCGCCGCGGTCGCGCCAACGTGTTGCGAGCTTGCCAACAGAGGGTAGGACTTTATACGAAACTTAGAGCAAGTTGTCTTTTCTTGCGAGTTGTCGCGGTACCGAACAGCACGTATGTTGGTTCTTTGACTCCCTCGGGGATGAAAAAAAGTTCACTCTGACAGACTGACTTATCTCTATTTTATCGTAGGTACTAACTGTGGCAGACTGACTAGGAGTTTGAGGAACTTCTCCGCGTCGTCCAGTTTATTCTTGTCTCCACTGTAACTGCGCAGCAGCTCCAGCTGAATCAGAGGGGAGAAAATCAAGTTTTCAAATTACTGAGCATAAAAAAATTACAGATAATGTCATAAAAAAGTCTTCAAAAAATTGTTTCAAAAAATCAGGAAACGAAATTAGGTCGATCATTTAGAACAATTTTAGATTGTTAAAAACCCCAGAACGAAAAAATTGAAGCAATAATTAATTCATCCCCTGGAAAATTTAAATTTTTATATTTGCTTTTGATTCTAAAAGTCGCGTTTGATCTTCCAATCAATTTCCTTTCCAATTTTTCTAACTGGAGCAGTTCATTTTCATTCAGTCATAATCAGTAACATACCATCTTCCAGCTCACATAAGCATCAACTTCTATGGCGTAATGTGTCGTTTTACAAAAGTCATGTATGAAGATCAAGTGTGTTTGCGACACTTTAAGCAGTCATAGTAACAGTGTTTATCTACCAGCAGAAGAAGAGCGTCCACTGAACCTTACTGACCTCTTTGGTGGTGGGAAGTAGTTTGATGAGCTGTCTCAGGCGCTCTGCTCCTATACTGCCACCATCTGCACGTCTGATCTTGCCTAACACTTCCCCGTGCGAACTGAAAAACAAAAACGTCCAGTGAAAAAAATCGCCACTGAAAGAAGGAAGAAACTTGCGCCTTAAACATGAGACTCGTCAAAAAATACTGAAAATTTTCATTCAATTGGTGATAGTTGTCCCAGTTTCGAGAAAAAATAGTCTGAAGAGAATTTATTTTGATATGGTTAATTTAAGTTAGAACACTGAAAAACTGTATATATTTGTTGTGCTTTGAGCTGAGCTATATCACCTATTTTGCTAATCCTAAAATCAGAGCCTCGTGTCACCCTCTCTGAAAAAATGACCAAAGTTTGAAAAATCTTTTCGTCGCAGGAAAAATCTGCTCCAATCTATTTTTTGCACAGCAACTGTTGATATGCCCACAACTGATGTACTCACCATCTAAACTGTTTGATGAAAACGTTGACACTGAGTGCCTTCCTCTCATCCAGTATTCTCACCGGACTAGCAAAGCTGCTGTTCTGCTGCTCAGTGCCTCCGGGGCCCATAGATGAGTCATTCTGGTCTGATTCCCCGTTTAACCCCGCAGGGACATCAGAGGTGTCCTGTTTCTGCTTGAAGTACTCTAAAAAGTCAATTCAACCCAGTTGGATTATTTTCTATTCAAAAAATTAAAATGACCTATTGACCATTAAAAGTTGGTGTCTAGAGTAACATCCCACACGAATGCTGTTAACAGATCACTCTCATTTATCATTGTTTCACATTATTTTACTTCTGGGAGAATTTAATTGTTCGCCTATTGTGCTAAATATTACTTTTCATTGACGTTTAGCGAATCTAGTACTTAGCGACAAGAGTTTATTATCAAAAACTTCCGAAAAAAAAATGTTCAACTTTTTTTAGATCAACCAATTTGATTGACTGAGCGCCTTCATAACAAAGAAAAAGACACAAATGCCCATTTTGAGCGTTTTTTGGAAACGTTTCACAAAAATATGTTGGCCTCGTGCTCGTCTCTTATATTAATAAATATTGTCGCGAAAGCGTTTCAGAAAAGTTTAAGACCCTGTTGACAAAACTGTTATCCACCCCCACCGTTTGAAATTCGATTCTGAAAGAAATAGCGTTGTTATAATGCATGGTGAACAGACTATCTAGTGAACAGTTTTGTTCTTTTTATTTTGTTTTGCAACATTACGTATTTAGCCAACATAACACGAAAAACAACTAGAACATGAAAATAGAAATTTTGAATGTGGGGCGGAATGTGAAAAAGAACCGAAAGCGTTTTTTTCACACCTTCGACTGTGTTGAAATCTAGGCTACTTTCTCCACTTTCCGATAGTTGTGTCAAAACTTGTTTCCATAAATTCTTCTCTTTTCCCAGAATTGCTTGAGGTGGAAGTTTCTGCCAATTGACTGATCGCATTTTTGAGCCTGGCCTCGGCCAACTTGGCAACTTAACGTTCTCAGAGCAGTCATTGATCAGGTTTTCAGAATTGAGTTCCGAAGCATAATTTGCAGCTTGATGTTGCAGTAAGGCCGATAAACTTGAAGGTGGCTCAACATTAGGGTTGCTTGTTGCAGATTGCTCTATGTTTGGGTCCAAATTGTCTTCCGTGTGCAATTGTGATGGCTCCGAATTTTCACTATTTTGTATTTCTGAAAAATCGGTCTCGTTTTTGTTTTTCTTGTCGGCCCGTGTTAAAATATCGGCAAGATGAGGCGCACTTTTTGAACTTGGAATGTGGCATTTGCAGCTGCAGCAACTAGTGGCTATGCTCAAGTTCGAATCCAGCACTGATTTGTTCAGTTCGGGCTGCTTATCCTCCCAGTTTTTGTCTATTTTCAGCTGCTGACAGGATGTGGTATAAATTAAACCACCGGAAGGCATAGGATGTGAAGGCAATGAGTCATCAACTCCATTGCTCAGTATTGCAGTGCTAAACATGTAGAACAAATCATACCAGAGTGCTCGTATCAAAGAGAAACTTTCAATACTCCTAGTTTACTTGCACGTATTTCAAATAGTTTTGGCTTGAAAACTTTTAAGTAACGAAAAAAATTGAGTCAATGAACCGAGGATACAGAAAAAAAACTTACTTAGTATTTGAAAAATCTTAAAATTTCGAAATTTAAAATTAAAAAAAAAACATGTTCTTAAAGCTCTTTGAATTTGAAAAAAAAAATTTAGGAAGATCACTTTTTTCGTAATTTTATCCCATTCAGAGAAAACTGGATCAATCGGTATTTTTTTCCGCTGAAAATTAAAAAATAATATCCTATTTCGAAACTAGATTTCGATCACGTTTTTCGTGCGTTTTTTTTACTTTTACTGTTCGATAAATGAATTTGCATTTATTAAAACAAAAGAAAGGAACTGAAATCATAAAAGAAGTGGAAAATCAAACCGCGAAAAAAAACAAATTTGAGCATAAAGAATTTCAAGACTTTTTCTGACCGATCAGCCGCGGATTATTTTCTAATTTTGATTTCTAATTTTGGATTAAGTTATAACTTTGAGCCTAAAAGATCAATTTTTTCAAGATGATAAAAAAAACATCGATAGAGCTACTTTCAAATAAAAACGATTTTCTCACTCTCTGCATCAATCGAAGCAAAATTTTTCGATTTTTCACGCCCTTGTTTTATCTATTTATTTGCAATCTCAAACAATTTCAAAGAAAATATATTTTAATTGCATTAAGTCACACTAATTGATCAAAGCAAGAAGTCACTTAAATGCAACGGTGTGCTCATGAATTTTTCTACAGGGCAGTTTTTCGAAATTACTCAAAAAATTTATCAATTTATCAAAGCCGTCCAATTAATTTTCCGAGCTCACCTAAAGCTCATAAATTTCTCTTTTGCCAAAAACTCTGCACCGCTCTCGAGTTACAAAAAACATGCAACCTTGACACCGATGAGAACAACTTTTCCTTTAATTAGCTGTATCGGTAAATCGCACCCCAAATCTTCCCAAAATAAAAACTATTTCTGCCCTTTTTAGTCAATCAAGAATTACGCAAACCTAGACAGTTGATAAAAAATTAAATCAAAGTATGTCTCTTTGTAGACTAATGAACTACTTTACTAAAATTATAATTTCCGAAAACTTCCACGAGCAATTGAAATTTGTTTATTGTTCCGAGCTCCAAACGAAGTGTGTGTGTATATATTATTGAAATACTATTTTGGCCAAACTTTAGAATGATTTATGCGCACTTAAGGAAAACATTTTTTTAAACGGTGATTTTTTCATGTGTGGCAATTTATCTCGCTCCCGCACTACAAAAGTGTTTCAATATAAATTGAGGCAAATTGTCGGTCGTATTTTGTTGCGCAACTTAAAATTTCACACTCGATGTCTCCTATTATACAAACTGTAACCATAAAGTTTTCGATGCCGATGAAGGGGAGTTGGAACATTCAAATTCTTGATATTCAAAAAGTTAGATCAGCATTTGAGCACATTTTGCCATTCCAATCCTCAAATTTGGCTGAACGTAAAGTTCTCTTTCAGTATTTATTCAACCGCTCTTTTGAAAATTGAATAAACAAGGTCGTTTGCAAAGGAACGAAAGTGTCATGGTAAAATTCAGTCAAATTTCTAAGATTCGAGTATGCTAACTTGTCCAGAAAATAAATTTGTTTCCTTTTGTGCTTTCAATTTTGAAAGAACCGTATCACGTGGCTATTGACTGTGCTTTAAAACATTTATTGTTCCGAATTTCGGCACGAAAGTAACGGAATATTTGTGCTTGGGGTGCATTTTTTTTTCTTCAGACGAAATTCGGCTTTTTAACTAGCCATTTTTGACGGAATTTTTCATATCATTCAAAAGTTGATATTGTCCTGAGCTTAAATTTGAAAAGATATTTCACCTGTGATCTTTTTTTTTTTAAAGTTATGGGGGTTTAAAGGTTGCCATTTTGGCCAATTTGTGACAATTAACACGCGATATATTTCGCGCTATTAACGCGTAAACGGAGATTTAATCCATCTTAGAAATCTTTCCAAATTGGTTGAAAGAAGCTTATTTGCCATAATTGATTTGTTATCAGGAGCGAAATCTATTCTTTTTTTACTTTATATGGCGTGTGGGGGGATGATTTTCAAAGAAAATTTCAAATTTTAGAAAAACAATTTTATTTCATTTTATTACATATATTTTTTAAATGTTACTACTGCTCCATAAACCTTAAAAGGCAGTCGGAATATTCAGGACTTCACCCTGATACGAGCAGTCTTGTTAGTTGCTTAAGATCTTCCCGTACCCGCTAATTGCTTCTAATCTGGATAGAATTTTCATATTGTCAATCAAACCAAATTTTTAGAAACTAAATATTTCTCATCGAACATATGAAAGATACATTTTCTTTAAAAATAACCTTAAATCAAGTCACTGCTTATCCGCAATGAGATAAACGTTGATTCAACATGTTTTGAGAATATAAAAAAATCGTACCAATAAATTGCGACATAACACTTGTTATGACAAGTGTTACTTTGCGTAAGGTTGCTTAAACTATTACTGTATCTCAGGTCAGGTGACCTAGTAGTTAGCTCAAGCTAACGGGAGGTTGAGAGCTCAAGCATGACTAAGTTCTTGAAAAAATATTGGCTTTTATATTTCAATTATGAAAATGAACCAAAAGTTGTTTTGATCACAGAAAAGTTCTCGACCAAAAGCATTGGATCCTGTTTACTATCTCATGTTAACTCCCTTTCTACAAAAAGGGAGGGGGCAATTTATTACATGGTTTGGATGGAAATTACTGAGATAAGGCCAGTCAATAAAATGCGAGAAATTGAATTTCTGAGGCATACAAAAGCAATAAAAAAACTAAGCATTATATGATGGACTTTAAAACTAAACAAGACTGCTTGTATCAGGGCGAAGCCCTGAATGTTCAGACTGCCTTTTAAGGTTTATAGAGCAGTAATAACTTTAAAAAATTAATTTAAATAAAATAAAATGAATTTTTTTTTTTTAATTTGAATTTTTTTTATGAAAGTCATCCCCCCACACGCCATATAAAATACAAAAGAATAGATTTCATTCCTTGAAACAAACCAATTATGGCAAATAAGCTTCGTTCAACCAATTTGGAATAATTTCTAAGACGGATTAAATCTCCGCTTACGCGTTAATAGCTCGAATTATATCGCGCGTTAATTGTCCCGAATTGGTCAAAATGGCCAAAATGGCGACTTTTAAACCTTCATAACCTTACGAAAAATGATCACAGGTGAAATATCTTTTCAAATTTAAGCTCAGGACAACAATACCTTTTGAATGATATAAAAAATTCTGTCAAAAATTGCTAGTTAAAAAGTCGAAATTAGTCTGAAAAAAAGCCCACCCCGAGCACAAATATTTCGTTACTTTCGTATCGAAAGTTGGAACACATACTGCCTCATTTGGAAAAAAACGAATCACAAGGGAACCAATTTGTTACAAGGTATCATAGGGGGCAAATAAATAACAAGATCCAAATTATTTTCTTTTTGAAATTCGGAGTAAAAAATACCAAAAAGAACAATTCCGAGCTTTAGTTTTCTTCAATTTACTCACCAGTATCAAACAAAATTGAACCAGTGATATCTATCAAAGAAATTTATCAAAAAACTTTGTACATATGCGTCTTTAGGAAGATTAATGGCTGCGATTACATATATTTTTTTAAATGTTACTACTGCTCCATAAACCTTAAAAGGCAGTCAGAACATTCAGGGCTTGACTCTGATACGGATGATTTAATAGCGCGAAATAGCGCGAAATATTACCGTTTACGCGATAATAGCGCGAAATATATCGCGCGTTAATTGTCACAAATTGGCCAAAATGGCAACCTTTAATTCGAACTCTAGCAGCCCATGTTTCTTGCACTTTTTCGGATTCCTATGGATGAGCAAATGATTACGAGGGCAGCTTGTATCAAAAAGTTTAGGCTGGGTTGGGGTAAAATAATGCCAAACAACAAAAATGTTCTGATTTTTATCCAGTGAGGCAAAAATTTTGACAAATGACATAATTTGATGAATTTGGTTAGTTGCAAACTAAGATCAAAACACTTTCCTCGGGTTGTCCAGAAAATTGATTTGATACTTGCTGAAAAAGAGGGCCATTAATTTAGTCAATTGTGCATACCGTTTGGACACGAGTTCCATTTCGTCCAACAAATTGTTCTTCGATGTTTTGGCTTGACCTCGGCTGACCTTTTTCGATCTAGTGTTCTGTGTTTGAAACACATTCTGCAAAATGTGAAGAAACTTCATGTTGGAAAAGCCCGTCGAATCTTCTGTAGATAACTACAAATAAAAGGACAACAGAATGAATAAATTTGCATATGAAAGAAGTAATTACCGATTTATTACCAATTTCATCGCATAAAATTAATGAATTATTTATAGCTGTTTATAACAACGAAAGTAAATCTATAATGGATCAAGCTATATCTCAGTTGAGGTGCAAAGCCTACTGTCAGTTTGTGTAGCAATTTTGTCTGTTTTTAAAACTGATGTGATGTGTAAAAGAATATTTATCGTTTTTTTCTTCTACAAAGCACTTGCTATTTCCTTAAGATATCAAGTGGTATGAGAAAAAAACGGTACTAAAAACAGAATATTAGTTTGAACTAGACCGTTTTGCAAGCAAAGTCATTTAAATTCGTTTTAAAATTGGAAATAGCGGAAATATTACGGAGGAGTTACTTTTGAGTATTCCTCCCGGACAAAATTGTTTTTCCATATCAATTTTCTACGTGCATATCACTGTCAAGGGATCGAGATATTCAAATTAAAGCGTAAAAAAACTGCAGTTTTATGTTAATCAATTTTGAGAGCTTATAGCACTCGAAGGCTTTTGTTCTCGTGCTAGTTGAATTAATTCAAAAACAGCTGAGTAATTTGAATTCAAAAATGGAATTTGATCAAAAAACTTGGGGCTCTTACGTACCATCATGGGGTCTACAAAGTGCAACGAGAAAATGCATTTTGATTGTATAGCCCAGCTTAAATATATTTGTTGAAAGACGCAATTGTAACTTGGAATGCATTTAAGAGCGCCTGCAGCAGAATTTGTACGAAAGTCAGTGAATGTCACTGCGTATCGGGTGGTACAAAAGATCGCCAACGTCTAATTTGACAATCCGATTATTGTTATGTCTCTGTTAAAAACTCCAATTAGTGTAGATATATCAGCAACCTTAAGCTATGACCATAAAGCCGTGAATGATTTAAGATCATCGTGGCAATGTTGTGAAAGGAAGTTTGACAAAACTTTCAAGAATAACCCAAAAAGTTGTCGTCATTTTTGATAATCACCAGGGTTTTCAGGCAGCTGACAATTTATAGAGGAAGCCAAAAAAAATGTTTTTACCTGCATAATTTTCAATATTTTGAAGGCTGTCGATATGATTATAGTTTACACAATAAAGTCTGACCTTTTCCTGGAAACAAAGAATAATATCTTGTTTAGGGAAACCTACCTTTCGTTGTTATTAATAGTTGCCGTCTTACGCCCCAGTAGACTAAATTTAAAACCCTCGTAAAATGAAAATGAAAAGCGGAATTGAATAGAGCATTGGAAAATTAGAATCCAACGCCCAGCCGCGCTTCACAAAAACAAGGTGGATATAATCAAAACTGGCGACCACGAGATGCTAAAAATAGACTAAAATTTTAGTTCCGTCTACATTCAAATAATTGGAGGCATACATTTTCCTGGGAGCATTTCGAGTCAAAATTTTAAGACAACTTGCATAAAAAACGTGTTTTTAGATTGAACTGATAACAATTAAATAAAAAATAATATTTGAAATTAAAGTTTTAGCGTTTCTACGAAGTAAGATTTTTTTGTATGAGCAATCCTGCACTAGATTTCCATGGAAAAAAATCTATCTAATTTGAGTTTTATCGTCTAGGTCTAAAAAATAGAAAAAAAAACAGATCATAATCAATTAAAAATGAATTAAATTGCTATGTTTTCAAAAAGCATTAAAATCCATAGCAACAATTGATGTTTTTCCGTTTTAGAGAAAGAGACAAAAAACTCCATAAGAGTTAATTTTTTCCATTTTTAGAGATGCAAATTTAAAAGCACACAAAATACTTTGCACATTTTCAACTGAAGTTGGTTACCTGTTGTTCTGTTTCAAATTATTTTGATGTATTTTTGATTTTTGTAACTCATTTTATGTAACTATATTTTGCTGTTTTCAACCATTTTCATATTTAATTTAGATTTTTTTGTATGGGGTGTGGCGTAACAATTGGAGGTGGACAATAATTGTATGTATGTATGAGTGTATGCAGATTATAATTGATATTAAGTTTGATCAAAATAATGGATGGATTACAATCAATTTTTTATTCCTTTTTGTTGTCTGAGGACAGCATGGGAATCGATTGTTTTGTTTATAATTGTTTTTTATCTCTTTTCTTAGATGCGGGATGCGTAACAGTTTTTACGAAAAGAGCAGTCAGCGTTGATTACTCTCCATGATCCAGGACTAAATTTCTGGAGCAAAAAAAATTTTGGAAAAAAAGTTTATAATATTCAGCGTGCGCGATTTTTGGTTGCTTTTAAAAAAGTGTCAGAATTATTATTGCTAGCGGGCAATGATTTGTTGTCGACAGCAACAAGATATTGTTTTCTTCAGGTCAAAATTTTTTTGCCGGTATCAGGTTTCTTAAAGTTAGGGGGGTTAAAAATTGCCAATTTGGGCAGTTGGTTCTTTTCCATTTTCACGGCACATTTCAAAATAACCATTTCTATAGTTGTTTTACGTGTTATTATGCTTAAATGCGTGATATTAAGATGTTAAGTATGAAAAAAATTGTTCAAATAGTTTTTCAAAGCTGAATTTCGAATGTGGGCTGAAGTGTAAATGAGCCGGCCAGTTTAGGACAAATGACGCGCGATATATTTTGTGCTATTAATGCGTAAGCGGGGTTTTAATCCATCTAGTAAATTGTTCTAAAGTGAATTGAGTTAAACTATTTGATTTTTTAACTCTGCTATATGCGAAATTTATCACTTTGTTGAGGGTGCATTTTGAATAGGGTGTGGTGTGAGAGGTTCTGATTTTTTTTACGAATAGCAAGTGCTTAAATCAAGCACAACCCATAGACCTCAAGATGTAGTTCGGACATTCAGGACTCGTTTAGAAACGTCTTGTTTAGTATCCAAAACACGTTTTTTAGTTGAACAAAAGTCTATTGTTTCGGTATAGAATTGACTATCGCTCGCAAAATGATTACAGATAAATCGGTTCTGCACATAGGTAAATCTGTATATTTTTCTGAATGTTATCCAGTCTCATCCAATTTTTCACAGTGCTGGTAAAATTTTGTAAGTCACTTAAGCTACTGCAGTGTAAAATATTTATTTTGAATTTTTCGTTGTGTTTTTTTTTACTTTACTTCAATCAGAAGTTCATTTATTCATTTGGCTCTTTTGTCGTTCCCTTTCGCCTCACCTGTAACTTTTGCAATCCTAATTCATGTTTATGTGGCTCAATTGTCATAAAATTTGCATGTCAGTGAAATACAAACGAAGGAAAACGTTTTAAAATCAAGTCTAACACCGTAAAATTAATGTTTACATGAATGGATGAAAACGCGGTAGAAGAGCTATATACTTATTCGAGGTATATGTAAAAGCCTCGTTTTTTTGAAAATCATCCTCCATACGCTATGTGAACCACAAGGTGAAATATTTTGAACTTAGCAAAGTAATAAATAGACCAACTAGCATGCCTAAATTCAATTTGGAACGATTTCTAAGACGAATTAAATCTCCGTTTTTGCGTTTGTAGCACTAAACATATCGCTCGTTACTTGTCCCAGATTGGCCTAATTGGCAATCTTCAAACCCCTAAAATTTTACAAAAATTATCACAGGAAAATTTTTTTAATTTGAGCTCAGAACAACAATACTTTTCGAATAATTAAAAAAAAAAAGTTAGTTCAAAAGTAAAAATTCATTTGAAGAAAAAACCAGCCCGAGCACAAATTTTTCTCCTTTTTCTTCAAAAGTCGGAACAATAATACAAACTGTGGTCTTTGCTGATAACTAGTATCGAAAACGGAGGGAAAATTAGCAGCACTAAAACTATTCATTGCCAAAAGGCAAAATTTCGGCTGTTAAATTGTGTTTAATCCGTGCCTAAACTAGGCTTTATTCATCATTGGTTTCTCTACTCGAAAGCAAAACTTATTCAAAAAAATGCTAAGTTGTGTAAGTTTTGAAACGAATTTTAACAACTAACCATTATTCACTAGTTTAGTTCGTCACTGTTGGTCACTGCAAAAACATTTTTTTTTCTCACGTCAGTGAGCCTAGATTTTCTACTATGTTTTCGTCAAAAGATTGAATGTCAAGAACGCGTTGATTTACGAAGCTCTAAGGAAAAGTATTTTTTACGTCATAACTACCATTCACCTGTAGATATAGCTTTAAGCAAAAGGTTTTTGTCACATGCAACCCAAGTCCATCAATCTTTGAGAGCTTTGAAAACATCAAAGAATATTGGCTGAACACCTTAGAGAAAATCTTGGCTGTCTGGGCAAATTTTGGCCAAAGAGTTTTTGAAGATGTCAAAGATTTTTCGCGAAATATCAAAAATTTTTGAAAATAAAACAAACACCTCAAAGATTATCTTACAAATTTTTAAAGAATTGCAAAAGAATGCTAACTTTACTTTAAGTTTTTTACCAAGATTTCAAAAACGTCGAATGAGTTTTTTTTTAAATTATGCTGTCTGGGCAAATCTTTAAAATCTTTTTGCATTCTTTTTCAACATATATAATTATAAATATTGCAACGACGTTTTGAGAAAAAATTGGTTGTAAGCTCCTTAAAATTCTGTTAAGATATTGAAGAATCATTAAAATTTTTTGATGAAATTTGAAGATCTTTCAAAAAATTTTTGCGAAAAACTGGTGAATTGCGGAGCCATCAAAAAAGTTTACGAGAACATCAGATTATTTCTGGGCTGCTTAAAACTAATAACATTTTTTGCTATATTTGATAAAATTTCAAAATTCTCCAAGATTTTACCTGGGAAATTCAAAACCAAAAATTTTACGTCGAAGAAATTGAGACTGCCAGAATTCGACAAAAAAGGCAATAGTTTTATCAGAAAATGCAAAAGTTTCACAAATTTTTAGAAAAGGAACTAGACGCTACCTATGGAGTGCCTGTTTTTACAGCAAAAGCTATAATTTGCATAATTAGAATATTATGTACGTTCTCTTTTTGTGCATAGTTTATGATTTGTCAATAGCAGGCTTTTTAGCTTTTGCAA